CTTTAAGGAGGGCTGTCACGGATGCTGGGCTCTCCTGGCATCTTAGGCCAGCCCGTGCGCCCTCCCTTCAGCGCGAGCAGCTCTCCGCCCCCCCCCACCCCCCACCCCCGGCCGAGAGAGGGCCCGGGGCCTCCCGCAGCCCGCCGGGGCTGTCCTCCTCCGTGCTAGTGCCGCTCCCTCGGCTCGCCGACGGCTTTCCTTACATCTGACCACTCCGTCCGATGCCGGACCCACGCCGCCGGCCGCTCGGCCGCTCGCTGTGACGCGAACGCGCCGCTAGGAGCCCCAGTTCGATGTGCCCCGCGCCGGACGCACCTCCTCTCTCCCGGCCTCTCAACCCACCGCCGGGTTTCCGTGTGTGATGCGGCGCCCGACAGGCCTGCCTTGCCGAGGTCCGCGCGGGTCCGCGGGGGCCAGACGGGGGCCGGCGCAGGCCCTGCGGCCACATGCTGACGGCGCATCGGCCCACGGAGGGGGCCGCCCGGACATGAGTTTCCTTTCATTTCCGTGTATAACGTTCCCCAACAATCTCAGGACACAAAGCCATGCTCGGCTCGTGGGCCGCACGGAAACAGATGGCAGGCCAGATTGGGCCCAAGGGCTGGAGGTGGCCACGAGCTTCCTGGGAACAAGAGCCCCCCCACACACCCACAGCGGCCAGCAAAATCCCCAGCCGGTTGCTCAGTAGGAAAAGCGCTTGGTACTTCCAGAAGGATTGTGACAACTTACCACAGTACACCGTCTTCAAGGCTACAATCCACAACCGAAGACAAAGGCGAGGGGGTGCCGGGACAACACGGAAGTTACGTCCTTTCACTGTGCCACCTTCCTACTTGAAAACCCTCCGGCGCCCTTACTGCCTGCCTATTCCAAAGGGAAATGCTTACTACTCCAGGCAGATGTTTTAACTTACTACCGCTAATAAGCTGGAGGTTCTTTTGATACTCCCACCTCCAACACTGTGGGGACAACGTTGGCGTCACGGACACTCCATCCGGGCTCGATGGTCTCCTAGCTTTCACCAAACGCAAAGAACGAGCCAGAGGCGTGGCTCCGGCTGCAAGTCAGACACTCAGAGGCTCGGACTCACCATGCCACTGATGCAGCGGCCGCAGGCAGTGGTTTTAAACTCGCCGTGCAGCTCCTTCACCGCACTCGTGGTGTAGAAGCCCTCGGCCAACAGAATGATCCCGTACAGGAAGAAGAAGGACGCGATCCCGTAGATGACATACTGCATCAGCTGTATTCTGCGGGAAGGAGGACGAGATCCGGAAAAGTGACAGTCACCACATGGCGAAGAGAAGACGTTTGGGGCCTCTGGAGGGAGGGCATGAGGCCGAGCCACGTCCCGTGACCCCTCCCACCCCGCTGATGGCTGCGGCGGGCTCACGGGGCATCCCGGGCAGGCACCCCTGGCCACCCGACAGCAACCTGGGCCTTTCTTCCGAGGAGGGCCCAGGGTTGAGACGGACGACATTCTGGGGCCGGGGAGAAGGCTGCTTGGTCAGGGGCGGGCGGAGGCCCGGTTGTCATCTTTGCACACGCACCCGCGTCCTGGGGCCTGAGGGGGAGAATGCTCATTCTGCACGCGAGCAACCACAGGCACGGAGACGCTAAGTCTCCCCTCCGAGGGCACGCAGTCAGGGGCAGAGCCGCCATGGGAGCTCTGCTCTAAGGACGCATGCCCTTCCTGCCACAGCAGGACACCTCCCAAGCGGGCCCAGCGATCAATGATACTCTGACGGGACCCCCTAGGTAGGCACGCAGGGCTTCGTTAAGGAGCTAAGCTCTGCACGGCCACTCTCGTTACGCCCGGGAAGCATGGGCACGGGCATTTTGGGAGGCTGCCTGTCCCTGGAAGTGATCAAGATCCCTAGCTAGGTAGATCAGTGTACCGTGCCCAGGTTCACTTTGGGTAGCTAGCTCTTGGTCTTCCTTGCACACAGTTGGCCCTCAGCGAGGCCCTGGCCGATCCTCCTTACAACCTCCCCCACCCCTGCGCAGTTCTTTGGATGTCTTGCGAACAGATAAAAGAAGAAAATTCCCTAAGGACTTGCATCATCATTCCATTACTGTTCAATAAGAATTCATTCAGGCCTTTCTCCGTCTGGTAGAGAAGTTCCTTACCAGCACAAGATACCTACAAGCTGTGAGACACAGGGAGTGAGGGAAAGAGAAAGACAACTGGAGAAAGCAAAGGAAAGGGGAATATTTGAAGGAAACGAATGCGTTGCTGCTGAGAATTCCAGGATGGGAAGGCAGATATTCGGGCCTAAAGCCCTGAAATTTCCCCCTTTTCTGCATTGGAGTACGAATGCAGGAGTAAGAACACTGCTCGTGCAGACTTAAGAGTTGGGGCAAGTCCTCACCAGGGTCCCCATCATGCCAGGGCCGGTCCCCTTTCCTGCGAGGGCCCTGGGGGTGGGGTCTGCTGCCTGGGAGCTACGCAAACTCACTCCCGGAGTGATCGCGGGCAGCATCTGTCCATCGCCTGGCCACAGCCCCCACGTGCACGGCTACTGGGCATGGCGTCCCCTGTGTGCACCTGCGGAGACCCCTCCCTCAGGCCCCAGACGCCCCCGGGGCCAAACACTCACTGTCTTCTTGGCCCTTTCCTTTCTCCTCTCGTGGGATTTTTCTCTACCTGCATCCAAATAAGCTTTAACGAAAAGCATCCCTTTTCTGCCAGGAGAGCTCGCTCGTCATTCTGAAAACATCACGGGGTAGTCGCATCTCAAATACATTTCTACGGGGAAGCAGGTACTTACACCTCACTCAGCAAGGCATGGTCACTGGTGTTGGTGGAGAAGTGTTGCTCAAGGATCGCCACAGTGCCCGCGAGGGCCACATGCCCACAGCCACAGAACAGGGCCACCCCAGAGAAGCAGAGGATGGTGGCCACCAGAGAGGCGTAGGGGACTCCTCCCAGACACTTGATGCAGCATTCAAAGCAGCCTGGACCCAAAGGAGAGAAAACGCAGTGGTTACGGGCAAGAGGTCTGTGTCTTCATCAACACCACACCTTTGCAGAGAGGGTCTCTCTTGCCATGTCCCCCCTCATACTCCGTGGTTAAGCTCGACATGCCGAGGGCCAGTGGGGTGGCTGTCCTCGGCTCACATTCTGTGGGGGAGGACCCCGGGGCTCCAAGAGGGGACATAGCTTAATTTACTCGGGGTGAGGAGCAGAGCAAGCAGCGAACAGTCAGGGAGCAAGTCACAATTCTAGGGCTTCCTCAGTGACCTGGGGCTGGCCGGGGGCGGGGGGGGCTGCTCCAGTGACTGGGAGGGATAGTCAGTCCACTAACAAAGTCAACAGAGAGGACAGCAGTGAAGCTGCGGTTCCACACATAATAGCGACCCCCCAACCTCAACCTTGGGGGGTTTCAAGTACCTCTATTTCTGTAGCAGCCAATGGCTTTCTCCCAGCCTTTGACCTCCTGGGCAACCAGAAGCAGCAGATACAGTAATTACACTGTTGCTGGGTTCAGAAAAATATCAACATGGTCATTTTGGAAAGGTGATGGGTCTTTTTGGTCCCTATAAGTACAAAGTCACCAACATCCACTCAAGTGGGTCCACTCAAGTTTCATTCATGTCAACATCAAATCCCCTCATCTTTTAATAAAAATGTCTCCCCAGCCCAGGCAACACTAGCCGTGCATTATCCCTCCTCCTCCTCCCCCCACCCCCCCATGCTTCCACCTGCCTCCTTCCCCAGATATGTGTTCAGAGTAAGAATCCAGAACTGGTGGGTGACATTTAAGTACTTGAAGGAAAAGGAACAGAAGAAAAAAAAAACAAAGACAAAATGAGCATCCATGAAGTGAAATGAAGAAAGAGCCACAATTCACTGTTCATCTTAAGAAGATTTTTCTTCATTTTTAAAATAAACTTTTACTGGAGGGGTCCATAAAGCTCTCCCCAAGGGACAGAGCCAGGTGACATTTTCAGTTCGGAGACATTTGTGTTTCATCTAAAGCAGTGGTAGCTTCGGGATAATGTCGGTACCTCTCCTGACCTCCCGTCCCTGTTTATATCATCCAGGCCCTTTAAGTAAATGCCTTGTCAGGGAAATCGAACCTGAATGCATTATGATGTTTAACAGCGATCGAGAGCAGTTCATTACTTCAAGGCAAGCACATTAAGCCAGCTGATTTTTCCCCCCAAATGGTCTTTACAGTAGACAGGGAATGACTACCCAGCATAAAGCACTGGAGACGGGCTTCGCCATTTTGAGGAGCATCCCATTCAAAAGTTGCATTTGTCTAAACCCACAAGAGAGAACTATAAACTCTCATTACCAGATTTCTCTTCAGTTCACTGGAAAATAAAAAAGGTCAAGGCTTCAAAAGTAAGTGTGCTTTCGTTCATTTCAAAAGATGGCTGGCTGTCATCATGGAGACCAACCTCTGTGAAATGGATTTATGAAACTACGTACAACGGGAACCAGTGCACAGAACAGTTCAAGTTCACTAGCAAGTCAGTACCTTCAAGAGCTTTGGATACTTGAGATTTGGGACAAGGATGATGGAGTTCCACCTGTCATACAGCTTTCTGGGGAATGGGGGGCTGGGGGGGACCAGGGAGAAGCAGGCCACTGAAAGTCCAAGTTCTCTCCAGACTGGCAAAGCAAGAGAAACTACAACCCTCAGCCTCGTGCCCCACTACGTAAAGAGCAAGCAGACCCACGTGTGTGGTGTCGTTCACGCCTTCCCCCATTCTCAGCCTGTAGGATGGTGTGAAGCCCAAGATGAACGCCTGCTTCCCTGGCTAACGAGGTAACCACTGGTTCCCACTGAACAGCGATGTGTGGCCTTGGGACTGTGCTGTCCGAGAGAGTAGCCAATAAAAAAATTCAGTTCCTCAGTTGTACCAGCCGTGTTTCCCATGCTCCACAGCCACATGTGTGAGGGCCCACCGTACTGGACAGTAAATAGGGAACATTCTATTCTCACAGAACCCGGCTTCGGAAGATACATTTCTGACTTGCCACCTCTTCTACTTTCTGAAAAGTGAGCTGGTTCTTGGGAGTTTTTACTTCGGATTTCAGGAATCCCGGTACTTTTTGAAGCCCTACAGGGTGCTAAGCACCGTGCTTGGCACGGGGGATACAAATACAAAAGAAGACGTCTTCTTTGCCTTCCAGGAGATCAGTTGAAGCTGTAGGCAGTCAAGTCACATCGCTATTGTGTGACAAGGGCCAAGTTCTAGACGGCAGGAGAGCCAGAGGATGGTGGGCTAGGGGAAGGGAGACAGGAGGACAGGAGGGAATACATTCCTATGAGAGAGGAGTCGGGAAAGGCCTTCTGCAGAAAGACCTAGCGTGCAGGCTACGTACACGGCTGCCACGGGCACATCAGCTGATCCAGGGTTCATTACTTCCTGCGTCCGCGTTTCAGAAAGCCTACATCCTTCCTCAACGCGAGTGAGGGTGCGCTGGGGTGGCGCGGCGCGCCTGCCCTTCAACGACAGAACTTAGCCTTCCAAATCCACAGCTGCCACTTCCAAAGAGTCTTTCATCCAAAGGGTTAGAGCATTCTGCTCCTTTCAAAGCCACGATCACAGCTGCTCCCTGGCTCAGAAAGACAAGTGGGGTTAGAAGCAGGGTGCCATCCAGTCCCTGATTTACCAGCAGAGGAAGGCTCAAGTTTCCCTCCGATTTCTCGCTCTCGAGGACTCCAGATACCCCATGCAGAGGTCGAGTTTTATAACAGCAGGGAAAACCAGGGACTGGAGAATTTGGGGGATCACGTCAATGAATCATACTCTCAGCACACGCCAGTGCTCCTACGTTTGCAGCAAATGATTTTATTTGCAGCTGTGGGAACTGGTTCCCACACAAAACAGAAGTCACCACATTGGTCACTGTTGTTCCACACAGACAAAACTTAAAAAAAAAAAAAGATTTATTTGACAGAGAAAGAGAGAGTGCAAGCACAAGCAGGGGGAGGGTCAGAGGGAGAGGGAGAAGCAGGCTCCCCACTGAGCAGGGAGCCCGATGCGGGGCTCGATCCCAGGACCACAGGATCACGAGCTGAGCCGAAGGCAGACGCTTCACCGGCTGAGCCACCCCGGCACCCCCAGACAAAACTCTTATGGACCCTGCCGGCCAATGTGAGTAGAAGCTTCTGGAACACAACATGGGAAGAATATGCAGGAAATAATATAGCTGGACGCAGCTATATTCTACCTCGCCTGGTCAGCGATCTGCGGGGCTAAAATTGCATGTGTGGTGGCTACCTGATCTTCTATGAATGGATCACCCCCACTGGACCTTCTAGGTCAGTCTAGAAGCTCTCTCTAGCCAAGTATGTAAGGTATCTTTGAGAAACCCAAACGGGCCAGAATGGGCTTTCTAACTATGGGTATCAATACGGTTCGTGTTCGCACGTTAACAGCGTTTCTCGTTGGAAATGCAGGCAGGTACGTATGTGGCAGAGGGGTACTGGAGGCCAGGACGGTTCCGTGTGCTCAGGCCAGCCGCCCAGGCAGGCGACCTGTGCTCTCGCGGGGCCCCGTGCTTGGCTCAATGCTCTGCTACTGTCGTCTTGACAGTCGTAATCCTTTTTGAACAGGGGTGTGTGAATTTCCTTTTGCACTGGGCCTGCAGCTTCTGCAGCCAGTTTTGAGTATAAGTGTATGGCGGGAGGCAAGACGGGTGCTTTTTCCCCTGACATGCCCACAGGAGCACTCGGAGTCATTTCCCAGTGTCAGCGATACGGCCGAGAAAGGCGGCCTTCGCCTTGCCATGCTGAGCACAGCGGCCCGGCCCTATAGGGAGACTAGCCATGGGCCGGAAAGAAGGACTTCTCCCTTCCCTCTGGAAGGGAGGAGCAACCTCCCACTCTTACAACCATCACTGTCAAGGCTCTAGGTTCTCCCAAACCAGGGTTCTCCTAAACACAGCCCGGGTTTTTGCACATAAAGTCTTTCTGGGACAGAGTTTTCCCTCTTCGTTCACAGGCCGTGGCCACCTGTGGCCTGCAGGGGTGCGTGGAGTAGCCGGGACAGGACGGAGAGCAGAGAGCAGCAGCACCTCTGTGCATACTCAACATGCAGATCCCTGCATCCCCGCCCCCTCCCCGAGCAACTGCTTCAGAAACTCGGGGGGCAGACCCAGTAATGTGTGCTGAGCAAGCCTCTGCGGGGGGGAGCTCCTCATGGAGGCTCAAACTGGAGCACCCCGACCCGAAAGAATCACACCAGCTCTTTACTCTGTCAGCTCTAGCTGTTTTCTTTGATGACCGGCCAAACTCCAGCACAATAAAAACCTAACCACAAAGGGATTCCTGGCTTGTGGCCAAGACGGAATAACGGGGACCTGATTTGTTCTCCTGCCTGAAACACCCGAAAAACTGGACAACAGTAGGAAACAATGGTCTTTAAGATATTAGACGTCCGGCCATGAAGAACCGTCCGTGGCTTCCGAGGCAGTTACTAAAATGAACGCTCACCAGAACCAAAGAATCCCCCTCAGATGACCCAAAGCGCGTTGCACGGCAGCAGTGAGCACGGCTCCACGTGAAGGCCCAGCTCGGTACCCGCTCAGGCAAGAGAAACTCCTCCCCATAACCCGTTCCCATCATCATCTCCGGGACTGGGGTCTCTGGAAGGCCTGCTCTCACCGAGACTGTCGGCCGAGCGGAGTCCCAGACACGGGTGTGGATGACAGCATGGGGAGGGAGGGAATGGCTGTCCATTCTTTCATTCTACTTCATTCCATTAGTGCATGTTCCGTGCTCGCCAAGTGTCTCCCAGGTCCCAGGCACCGGGCTGGGTGCTGGGGACTCCGTGGTGGGCTAAGGGAGGCACGATACCCAGTCTAATGGAGTTTAGCCTATGGGGGGAAAGGGACATTAACCAAATGGCTTTACTTCCCAGGTGCTAGAAGAGCAAACAATGGAGATTTATGGAGGCTTGCGGTGGGGTGCAGGGGCAGCTTCCAGAACTTAAAC